AAAATTTATTTCCTTAATACAAATTCATAATAGAAAAATATATATTTATTATATTATTTTTTGGTAATAATATTTATTATGTTATTAATATCTATTTTTGAAGTACTTATTAAAAAAAATCCATTTTTCTTTTAGCTTTATTTCAAATAAAAATGATTTAAAAGCACTAAGTCTTGTAGTCTAATGATTTTAAACCAGTTTATAAAGTGCGTTTCTTCAGTTGAAGGGTTGAAATTCGAATCCATCCATTTCAATTATAAATTCATTTCAATTATAAATCCATTTAAAAATAAATAAATAAATAAATAAAAATAAGTTTAAAAAATAATTCTAAAACAGGGGATTTCATTTTCAAAATTTGCCCCTCCTCTCTTAATTAATATCCCCAAATCTCCTACACCCACCCCCTGGTTAGGCAACAATTCTACCTAATATGCCGGCAAAAAGGAAATTTAGGGAATTTAAATAAAAAATTTACTATACATGTAAGGTTAGACGTTAATTTTAAATTTAATTTTAAAACTAAATATATAAATATTTTATAAAAAAAAAACCATTCAAGTTACCTGTATAGTGTATTGTCTAGTTGTATCAGTTGCACCCATTCACCGTGATTCACGCAAAGCTGCAAACAGTAGGCATTCATTCACCGTAATTCACGCAAAGCATCCATTCACTGTAATTCACGCAAAGCTGCAAAGGTACAAACAGTGGGCATCCAGTCACCATAATTCACGCAAAGCACTCATTCACCGTAATTCACGCAAAGCTGCAAAGCTGCAAACAGTGGGCATCCACTCGCCATAATTCACGCAAAGCACCTATTCACCGCCATAATTCACGCAAAGCACCTATTCACCGTAATTCACGCAAAGCTGCAAAGCTGTAAACAGTGAGCATCCAGTCACCATAATTCACGCAAAGCACCCATTCACCGTAATTCACGCAAAGCTGCAAAAGTACAAACAGTAAGCATCCAGTCACCATAATTCACGCAAAGCACCCATTCATCATAATTCACGCAAAGCTGTAAACAGTGGGCATCCACTCGCCATAATTCACGCAAAACACCCATTCACCGTAATTCACGCAAAACTGCAAAGCTGTAAACAGTGAGCATCCAGACACCATAATTCACGCAAAGCACCCATTCACCGTAATTCACGCAAAGCTGTAAACAGTGGGCATCCACTGACCATAATTCACGCAAAGCATCCATTCACCGTAATTCAGGCAAAGCTGCAAACAGTGAACATCCAGTCACCATAATTCACGCAAAGCACCCATTCACCGTAATTCACGCAAAGCTGTAAACAGTAGGCATCCACTGACCATAATTCACGCAAAGCATCCATTCACCGTAATTCAGGCAAAGCTGCAAAGCTGCAAACAGTGGGCACCCATTTTATTGTCTGTGGGTGGAAAATGGGAAGAATTATCATGTCACTAATATCTCATTTGTGCGTAAAAAAGATAAATTCTTATGCTTCGTTTTATTTTGTTTTCAAAAATAAATTTTTTAATATATATTTTAAGAGTGTTATTAATATATTAATTTATATAAAAAAATATTAATATTAATATTATTTTAATTAATTAAATATATAAAAGATAAAGTGAGAAAGTTTTATAATAGAATAATTAATCAAAATGAAAGGATAATGGTATAGGTAAATAATAAAAAAATATTTGTTTAACATGAAAAATGAAAAATAATAATTAATTTAATACAAACTCAATATTAAAAGAAGATATCGTTCAAGAAAAAGTTAAAAAAATTATTTTTTAGGATAAAAGGAGTATAATTGTAGTTTTACAAATAAGAAAATTGTATCTGAATGAGGACCATGAACATTTAATTGTAATTTTCATTTTATTG